TCCTCCAAATATATCTTCCCTAATCCTTAGCTGTATAACAACTAGGACAATCTCCATATTAATAAATGGCAATAAAACGGAGGAATTTTCTCCCACAAGGTGCATTCGACAAGGTGACCCCATGTCTCCTTATCTTTTCATCTTATGCATGGACATGTTATCAAAAAATATCGAACACCTATATTCAAAATTGGGACCCCATTAAGCTTAATAAGAGATGCCTCCCCCCCCCCCCCCACCTGTCACACTTGTTTTTCGCAGATGACCTAATATTAATGGGCCGTGCAAATAATAAAACTATCACAACAATGTAGAAAAGCGTGGAGAGTTTTTGTTGCCTCTCCGGGCTAAATATCAACAAAGATAAATCCAAAATATTAGTGTCAAAGTCTTGCACTGATGAGAATATAACAATGGCCATGAATACCTTTGACTTAAAAATTAGTAAATCATTTGGTACTTACCTAGGTTTTCCCATGCTTCAACACCAACCTAGGCATAAAGACTATCAACCCATAATTGATAAAATGCGGGCAAGATTAAACAATTGGAATGCTAAGTGGCTGTGTATGGCGGGAAGGTGCACTTTAATAACTTCTTTTCTCAACACAATCCCAAACCACCTAATGCAATTATCCCTACTTCCAAGTAAAACTTTAAAGGAAATTGACAAGATCCAGAGAGACTTCCTATGGGGGACTACTAGAGATAAGAAAAAACTTCACCTAATTGGGTGGAACATGGTTACTAACACAAAGGAAGTTGGGGGCCTAGGCATTAAGAAATCAAAATCTAAAAATTTAGCCCTGCTAGCCAGCCTTACTTGGAGAATTCTTAATAATCTGTCATCCTCTGGGCACATGTTCTCATTAGCTTATATGGGCATATTAGTAGAACTGGTGGTTGCTCTAATACCTGGAAAAGCCTATTAAGAGGTTGGACTATCTGTAAACAAGGAATCAGGTGGCCAGTCGATCAGCACTCGAGCATGAATATTTGGGCCACTAATTGGATCCCAAATTTCACCAACCTAAGAGATAACATTATTGGTCCCCTTACCTATAATTAGGATTGTTTAAAAATTAAGGACATTCGGGATAACAATGAATGGGACCTAACAAAAATCTCCTTTGAGCTTCCTCAAAGTATTGTTACAAGCATCAACTCCTTAATCCCAACCTCATATCCTATACATGCTAACAATCTCATATGGAGTATAAACCCTAGCGAGTATTCACCACCACTTCTTGTTATAAATTAATTGATAAACAACTCTCCCTAAATCTTAATTTCAATTGGATCTGGGGTGCCAAGTGCCCGAGAAAAATCAAGTTCTTCCTATGGACGTGCTACCACACACGTCTTCCCACTAGAGAATACTTCTGAAAATTTGGTATTAATATCGACACTAACTGCCCAATATGGAAAAACACAAATGAGTCCATATTGCACATCTTCTGGGAATGTACGGTTGCTCAATCTTTTTGGCAAACCATGGGGGTGGCCATCACTCATCAAAGGGAAAATGAACACTGGGTAGATTTTCTTTGAACTAGAAACCCTAAAAAAACCAATAAATTCATCACATGGGAAGAAACTTTTCCCTTCTCATTATGGGCTATTTGGCAGAACAGACATGAAAACAACGTGAATAATACTAGCAAGCACATCAACACAAACAAAGTTCTTGACCAAGCATTGGAATACCACTTGCTAACATCCACGCCTACTACTAATAATATTAAATTCAAACTCAAAGTGAAGTGGCAGGCTCCTCCAAGGAATTAGTATAAGCTCAGTTTTGATGGGGCTTTCGACAATAGTTGCCTCCATGGAGGAATCAGTGGGATAATTCGCAACAACAAAGGTGACTGGATACTGGGATACTACGAGAAGTATCCCACAACATCTCCTATTCAGGCAGAACTCCTAGAATTACGGCATGCACTTAAAATAATTATCAAGAAAAACATATTCCCAGTTGAAGTTGAAACAGATGCCATGGAGGTCATACACTTCCTTCATGACGATTATCCAACTTACAATGATTTAATTCATGAATGCATGTGGTTAATGGAGAAGGCAACCCAGCAAGGGGAGATCACAATGAAGCATAGCTTTCGTGAGGGGAACATGGTAGCACACCAGTTGGCAAAAGAAGCTCTAATGGCACCTAGTTATAATAAACCTTGTTGTTTTGTCTTACCTTCTATCTTTGTAATGGATGCCTATTGCAAGGATCAGGATGACCATATGTATGTTAGATCGTGTTCTATGAAAGTGTGTAGTAACTTAGCTGCATTAGGCAATGACAGTGCCTTAGAAGGCATATCTCTAGCGCCTCGAGGCGTATGTACTAAAGACAATGCAATAGGTCACGTACCCTAGCTTGCTACTATTATTATTATTAATATAAGTACCTTTTCCCATAAAAAAAAACTAGTAGTGTAGAGCATGATCAAGAAATCCTTGTCATGCAACAACTTTCAGAAGTACTTTTTAAATTTGATCTCAGAGAACATAACAACAAAGTAAAGATTAGCATCTTTGTGTCTGCAATTTTAACTTCTTCAAATAACTAGATTTGAAGATTACAATGTCAAATCATAGCCTTAAGTGATTGATTTAATACATGGAATCCAGGGGGACACCAACAAATACAAAGGAGGAAAATAAGCAAAGAACTTATGCACTTCCCTCTCCTTTTTCTCTACTTTTCTTTCCTTTGCCGCACAAAAATATATACCTTTGTCACGTATCTAATGTTGCGGCCAAGTGATCAATAAAGTTGGTGCTAGCTTTTTATATCAGGGTTCAAATTCCGACAAAAATATATTATAAAATTTCTTTCAATCTCTAGATTTTAGTGGGCAGAAAAAGCTAGTCCGGATACTACTATTATTAGAAAAATGAAAGGAGATACCTTTATCACTTTATTGTGCATTTTAGTGCAAACATCATCCAAGAATTTGAACCCCATAATCTTCACAAATCTTCAAAAAATATTTGCATGTGAAGTGAAGGATTGCATAATATCTTTTGCCAAACACAATGTGATCCTCAAATGCCAAATAAGAAAGAATTTGTTCAATTTTTAACTAGCACCCATGAATAGCCATATACAGCCAAGGGTATATAGCTTTTTCATAATAGGAATGGAAAACTTTTAATAGGATACCTTTGTTGGGCTACTTGTTGAGGCAGAAATGGAGATATAATGTATCTTTATATACCATCTTTTACTAAGATTAAGTTGCAAAAGTTATTGAAAAGAAGGCCAATATATGAATTCTTTGTCATATGATTTTATTACAATTTGGAGGAAATATTTACCACTGAACTTTTGTACTTTCGCAAACTGTCATGATATTATTTAGAATTTAACCTATATACACAGAGCGGATCCAGAATATATATTTTATGGGTTCAACATTTAAGGTTTTTAGTATTTTTACCCATTATATTTTAAAAGTTATGGGTTCATATGTACCATTACTTATAATTTTAATGAATCTTTACACATAAACTTATACTCCACATGAAAGTTATGAGTTCAATTAAACTCGTTATACATGGATCGTCTAAAAAGTTTTAACATTTTTTATAACAAGTAATCTATCTTATTTTCTATGGTGCTAATCTCACTTTTTATGGACAATTGCTCATAATATATAAAGAATCGTAATCATAAATGATATCTGTAAATAAAAGTATAGATTATATTTTGTAAGAATTAAAATATGTCAATTTCCACAAATTAAAAGGGAAAACGAGATATGATTCCAAGAGCATTACAAGGACTCATGGTCCTACCCTCTTTGAAAAGAAAAAATATACCAAATTTTGCCGTATTTTGTGGTAAATCTTGGTGACTACCAAATGATTTGTTTTGTTTTTTGTGATTGTCGTATTTTTGCAAATTTCAGCGATCACCATGTGAAAATTTCTGGCGATTGTCATGTTTTGCAAATCCCGGTGTCATCATATGAAATTTTTTGGCGATTGTCATGTTTTGTGGCAAATCGTATTGATAACCATGTGAAAAATTCTGGAGATTGTCAAAAACGCTTCCCAATATTCTGGCGGAGGCTATTTTCTCAACAGTGGGACCGAAATATCCTATTTTTGCCATTCGCCTAATTTTAATAACTTTTACATTTGATAAGTAAAAGATTCCCAAGAACGGAGGGTCAAAGTATAAATTGATCCTAACATTCTCCATTAAATTATATTGCGCAAAATCCACAATAAAGGTTCATCTCAAACAGTTATACTAAGGTCCTTGACAAAAGAAAACACATATGCTTTAGTTTAATATTAGTTATATTTGTCCGTGTATTGAGAATTATGTAAGTAGAAGTAGCAATTTGCGTAAAAAAACTGACAAACAAAACATAGATTTACACACTGAAGTAAAAAGCTAATGGTACTGACTAAGACGAAATCAATATAAATAAGGAGTTTAACTTCTGTACACTAACTTGTAAAAAAATTGTATTATTAGGTCACTTAAGATATAACTATAGATAATCATCCATAATAAGTTTGGATTACTTTTTTGAAAAGTATAATATGTTAAATGCTACAACGTCATAAAATACACTGTTTAAATATAAATCTTTCTTAAACTATCAAACATCCAGCCAAGGAAATTCCTCAACGGTACAGCAGTTTTGTTGCGTGCATTTTCTTTCCTGTTAGAACTCTTCTAAAAGAGTAATGTGGTTAAACAGAATGAGCTAAAATTTAAGCAAATTTGTCAACTTAAACAAAAAGTCAGATAGTGATTAGTTATTAATTAAATCATCAATCTCTACCTAAGCCGCCCCTCCCACTCACCTTATAGTGAAAAGTTTTCATGTCTAAAACAAGAAGAAAGATCTCATAATATTCAAATACTATTTATATAATTTTTACTAGTGAAGGTGAATTCCACAAGTTCCTACTACATCCTTTTGAAGATCAACTCATATTCAAAATATATCCTTTTTCTGTCCCCATCAAACCGCCTGTCCACTCTTTTTCTAATATTGTTTCTTTTTCCTTCTAATGTTAGCTTAAAAACCCCCCCTCTCATCCCTTTCAATAGTAACAACACTTGATATCCCAAAATTTCCTCTCTTCTTCTTCTTCTTCACCATAACTATGACTGGAAAAAGAAGCCAAAATAGCCCGGTTGGTAGCCCGTTATCGGGCGATAACTCCTCCAAAGAGCTAGACAAGTTCCTCCCTATAGCCAATGTTAGCAGAATAATGAAAAAATCCCTTCCTGCTAATGCAAAAATCTCCAAAGAAGCCAAAGAAACTGTCCAAGAATGTGTTTCTGAGTTCATTAGCTTCATCACGGGCGAAGCCTCGGATAAATGCCAGAGAGAGAAGAGGAAGACCATTAATGGAGACGATCTTTTGTGGGCTATGACAACATTAGGGTTTGAGAACTATGTTGGACCCTTGAAGGGTTATCTCAATAAGTACAGAGAAACTGAAGGGGAAAAAAATATTATGGCTAGAAACGAAGAACCTTTTGAACCAACTAACGATAATTATATTATAACCAGTAGTAATAGTACTACTAGTTATAATAATAATATTGGTGTTCATGGTCATGGTCATGATCATGTTACAAAATTCGCAAAAAGGCCTGAATTTATTCAGAGTTTTAATAATGGCAATCTTGCGCAAAGTTTTGGAGATTATGGAAGGGTTAATGTCTATGGTGAGAATCTGACCTCCGCAGCTAATCTTCATGGGGTTGAATGGTAGACTATTTCGGGATTGTTCCTTGATTTGTGTATGTTATCCTTCGTGCTAATTGGTTCCAATTTTATCAGATGTCCCTGAAGGGACTAATGGTAGACTTATTTGGGAAATTAATATTAAAAGGTGTCCTAGTTTCTTAACTTATTGCATAACTTTTTTTTATGTTATCTTTATTTTTCTTTGTCAAATTAACTCATTTTGTAACCTTTTATATGTGTTAAGTATGATAGTTGAATTTATATAGGTCTGATTATGTATCTTTCTGATGTAATGAATGAGCTGATTCATTAATTAATGTCATGCTATTATTTGTGTCTAGTCAACTTATTGTTGGTAATTATGTATCAAATTCTAACTTCTATTTTGAGAATACTTCATATGATATTCCTGCAAAGTTTAAGAGGATTTTTAATTAAGGGTTCCCTCTATATTCTTCACTATCAATTCTAATTACTGATTACTATATATGAAGCTTGTGAATATCAAGATTAGAATTTCAGTTTTATGGGTTCTTTATTTTAGAACGATGACTTCAAATGCTAATAATTGGGTTTTAAATATAATACTTGTAAATATTTAATGAATTTCTTAACACAAATATATTATTTGAACAAAAATTACTGGGTTCGGCTAAACCATATTGTCGGGCTTTAGCTCCACCCCTGAGATGACTAGACATTATTCAATGTAGTTAGATAGTTTCTTGATTGGGATATATGCATAAATTAATGAATTAATTACTTAATTTCCACTGTTTTGCTGTAGAAAATAATATTACTCCAAAATTAATCTCATAACCTATTTGTTTGACTCAAAAGTTGTTTAACACTTTTTAAGCAAATCAATCAAATAGATGAATGGGTAGTTAAAGATAATTAACTCTAGATCCGAGACGAATAATATGAGTAGAAAAACATAGCCGAGTATAAATATTGGGCGTGATTATAGCCAGATTTAATAACATAAAGAAAGATGCATTGAATAACATTAAATGGCAATAAAATATAGATAAAGGAAAAGATTCACTCGATCTTGAGTTAGTCGGATCTTCTTTCATTTGATAAAGATGAATGATAGACAAAATACAAGAACCATTGGACCCTTTTTGGATCTGATGAAGGTTTTGGATCACAGATCCTCTTCTCTCTTTTGAGAGATGTGTTTACATATTTTCTAGAAAGAGGGAGAGGGAGACCGAGAGAGAGCCCCCTCAATGGGAAGTCCTCCCCTCCTATTTATAAGGGGGGTATCCATAGAATATCCTTACAAAAGGTACAATTTAGAGAGAATATTCGGTAGAATATTCCTTTTGAGTATTCTAAAGCAAACTAGCAGTTTCATGACTGTCCGTCCTCGGCCTGTCCGACCTCGGCCTATCCGACCACGACCTTCTTGATGACGGTCCGGCCATGGCTTTATTGATGACGGCCCGACCTTGGTCTGTCCGACCTTGGCTTTATTGACGACGACCTGACCTTGGTCTGTCCGACCTTGGCTTTATTGATGACGGTCCGACCTTGACCTGTCCGACCTTGGCTTTACGTCTTCGCGTGTCGAATTTCTCTGGTCTAATTTTGACCCATACAGTTAGTCCCTCCGCTTATCAAGGTCGTCTCTTGGTCGAGCTCGGTGAGCGGACCTCATTAATCGTAGTTCGAGAAATTTGGATGGGGAGGTTGACTAGTATGGGTTGCAGCTGAGGATGCCGATGCCGAGGGAGAATATCTTGAAGATGCTGGTGAAGAGAGTGGCGATGGTGACGCCGAGTGAAAAGATAGCTGTCTTGTTTTTTTGACCATTGATCCGGGTCGTATGTAATCTACGACTATTTGCGCAGTGACTTTGTATAAACAAGAACTTTTCGTTGCTATTTGCCTTGTACTTTTCCATGTTTTCGCTTTTTGCGACTTTGGTGCGAGGTAGATTCCCGCATGGCGAGTCCCGGTCTTTCCTTCTTTATATTTTTTGACGGCACTTGGCCTTAGGGACATTTCGAATTCTCTTCGGCGAAGGCCCATGGCCTTAGAGGGTATTATTTCGATTTTGTCGGAATATTGACCCGTCGTTGTTCGATCGAGGTCGAACTCTTCTTCTTTGGCGAAGGCCGTTGGCCATAAAGTCGATTCGGACGAGGCCGAAGATTGATTCGGACGAGGTCGAATGTTGATTCGGACGAGGCCGAAAGTTGATTCGGACGAGGCCGAATGTTGATTCGGACGAGGCCGAAGGTTGTTTCGGACGAGGCCGGATGTTGTTTCGGACGAGGCCGAATGTTGATTCGGACGAGGCCGAAGGTTGATTAGGACGAGGCCCAATGTCGTTTCGGACGAGGCCGAATGTTGATTCGGACGAGATCGAAGGTTGTTTCGGACGAGGCCGAATGTTGATTCGGACGAAGCCGAAGATTGATTCGGACGAGGCCGAATGTTGATTCGGACGAGGCCGAAGGTTGATTCGGACGAGGCCGAATGTTGATTCGGACGAGGCCGAATGTTGTTTCGGACGAGGCCGGATGTTGTTTCGGACGAGGCCGGATGTTGATTCGGACGAGGCCGAAGGTTGATTCGGACGAGGCCGAATGTTGTTTCGGACGAGGCCGAATGTCGTTTCGGACGAGGCCGAATGTCGATTCGGACGAGGCCGAAGGTTGATTCGGACGAGGCCGAATGTTGTTTCGGACGAGGCTGAAGGCTGTTTCGGACGAAGCCGAATTCTTCTATTTGGCGATGGCCCTTAGCCTTAAAGGGTGTTATTTCGACTTATCGAAATGTTAACCCGTCGTCGTTCGATCGAGGTCGAACTCTTCTTTTTGGCGAAGGCTCTTGGCCTTAAAGGGTGTTATTTCGACTTATCGAAATGTTAACCCGTTCGAATTCGAGCGAGGTCGAACCATCAAACTTTGATGGTGAAGGCACTTAGCCTTAAACTCAGTTCGAACGAGGTCGAACTTATCAAACCTTTGATGGCGAAGGCACTTAGCCTGAGTCCCAGTTCGAGCGAGGTCGAACTGTTAATCTTTGATGGCGAAGGCACTTAGCCTGAGTCCAAGTTCGAGCGAGGTCGAACTGTTAATCTTTGATGGCGAAGGCACTTAGCCTGAGTCCTAGTTCGAGCGAGGTCGAACTGTTAATCTTTGATGGCGAAGGCACTTAGCCTGAGTCCCAGTTCGAGCGAGGTCGAACTATTAATCTTTGATGGCGAAGACACATAGCCTGAGTCCCACTTTGAGCGAGGTCGAACTGTTAATATTTGATGGCGAAGGCACATAGCCTGAGTCCCAGTTCGAGTGAGGTCGAAATGTTAATCTTTGATGGCGAAGGCACTTAGCCTTAATCCCGAGGTCGAACTGTTAATCTTTGATGGCGAAGGCACATAGCCTGAGTCCCAGTTCGAGCGAGGTCGAACTGTCAAACATTGATAGCGAAGGCGCTTAGCCTGAGTCCCAGTTCGAGCGAGGTTGAACTGTCAAACTTTGATGGCGAAGGCACTTAGCCTGAGTCCCAGTTCGGGCAAGGTCGAACTGTCAAACTTTGATGGCGAAGGCACTTAGCCTTAATTCCAGTTCGAGTAGTCGAACTGTTAATCTTTGATGGCGAAGGCACATAGAGTGAGTACCAGTTCGAGCGAGGTCGAAATGTCAAACTTTGATGGCGAAGGCACTTAGCCTGAGTCCCAGTTCGAGCGAGGTCGAACTGTCAAACTTTGATAGCGAAGGCACTTAGCCTTAATCCCAGTTCGAGCGAGGTCGAACTGTCAATCTTTGATAGTGAAGGCACTTAGCCTTAATCCCAGTTCGAGCGAGGTCGAACTGTTAATCTTTTATGGCGAAGGCCTTAGCCTTAGTCCCAGTTCGAACGAGGTCGAACCTGTCGATATTTGATGGCGAAGGCCTTAGCCTTGGTCCCAGTTCGAACGAGGTCGAACTGTCGATCTTTGATGGCGGAGGCCTTAGCCTGAGTCCCAGTTCGAGCGAGGTCGAACTGTTAATCTTTGATGGCGAAGGCACTTAGCCTGAGTCCCAGTTCGAGCGAGGTCAAACTGTCAAACTTTGATGGCGAAGGCACTTAGCCTGAGTCCCAGTCGGGCAAGGTCGAACTGTCAAACTTTGATGGCGAAGGCACTTAGCCTTAAGAGTCCCAGTTCGAGCGAGGTCGAACTGTTAATCTTTGATGGCGAAGGCACATAGCCTGAGTCCCAGTTCGAGCGAGGTCGAACTGTTAATCTTTGATGGCGAAGGCACTTAGCCTGAGTCCCAGTTCGAGCGAGGTCGAACTGTTAATATTTGATGGAGAAGGCACTTAGCCTGAGTCCCAGTTCGAGCGAGGTCGAACTGTTAATCTTTGATGGCGAAGGCACTTAGACTGAGTCCCAGTTCGAGTGAGGTCGAACTGTCAATCTTTGATGGCGAAGGCACTTAGCCTGAGTCCCAGTTCGAGCGAGGTCGAACTGTCAAACTTTGATGGCGAAGGCACTTAGCCTGAGTCCCAGTTCGAGCGAGGTCGAACTGTTAATATTTGATGGAGAAGGCACTTAGCCTGAGTCCCAGTTCGAGCGAGGTCGAACTGTTAATCTTTGATGGCGAAGGCACTTAGCCTGAGTCCCAGTTCGAGCGAGGTCGAACTGTTAATCTTTGATGGCGAAGGCACTTAGCCTGAGTCCCAGTTCGAGCGAGGTCGAACTGTCAAACTTTGATGGCGAAGGCACTTAGCCTGAGTCCCAGTTCGAGCGAGGTCGAACTGTTAATCTTTGATGGCGAAGGCACTTAGCCTGAGTCCCAGTTCGAGCGAGGTCGAACTGTTAATCTTTGATGGCGAAGGCACTTAGCCTGAGTCCCAGTTCGAGCGAGGTCGAACTGTCAAACTTTTATGGCGAAGGCTCTTAGCCTGATTCCCAGTTCGAGCGGGTCGAACTATTAAACTTTGATGGCGAAGGCACTTAGCCTGAGTCCTAGTTCGAGCGAGGTCGAACTGTTAATCTTTGATGGCGAAGGCACTTAGCCTGAGTCCCAGTTCGAAAGAGGTCGAACTTATCAAACTTTGATGGCGAAGGCACTTAGCCTGTAACTCTGTTCGAGCGAGGTCGAACTTTGTTATACTTTGATGGCGAAGGCACTTAGCTTGAGTCCCAGTTCGAACGAGGTCGAACTGTCAAACTTTGATGGCGAAGGCACTTAGCCTGAGTCCCAGTTCGAGCGAGGTCGAACTGTTAATCTTTGATGGCGAAGGCACTTAGCCTGAGTCCCAGTTCGAGCGAGGTCGAACTGTTAATCTTTGATGGCGAAGGCACTTAGCCTGAGTCCCAGTTCGAGCGAGGTCGAA